ATGCTGGCTGGGGGAATGCTGGGAGTTGAAGTCCACACATCTTAAAGTTGCTGAGGTTGAGAAACACTGCTTCATAGGGTTCCACCCCCCCCAGTTTGTGAGAAACAAGGATTGCTTCATCTGTAAAACTGGTCACTGTCTTGGACAAAACCATGTTAACCTGCTTCCTTGGAAGTTGGAACACCATTCTTGAGATCACATAGGGACGGAGTTCGAAAGTCAGAAAAACAAACCCCTGACCAATCCATGGGTATTACAGGGACGGGCCATCATTTTATAATGATGTGCCAACCTGATAGAATGCTTTTATAACAGCGGCATTCAAGCACCAGGATGGCTTTCTACAGGTGAAGTATTAAAGAATGCTATGTTCTCCAGCGTCCCTTGAAAAATCAGTATTTCTTACGCTTCACAGAGGTTGAAATGGCCAAAAGCCACGGAAAAAAAAAGGAGATGACTTACACAGCATCTGCTTGGAATATGGGTGCAAAGAAAGAGAAAAGAAATCCTAGTGTGATCTGTCAAAATGTGTCACCTGTTACCTGCAACCTTGAATCATTTTGGCATGTATTATTCTTATGATCTGACATTTAAAGGCAGGAACTGAGATCATGGGAGTTTTGCAAGGCTGGGGGCACGATCTCTAAATGGGCTGGTAATGGCTTTCTAAGCCTTATCAAATTTGGCAGAAAAAGGAAAAGAAGGGTGCTTACTTCAACTTACTGAATATCTGAGGTCTGATATATTGACATCCATCCCAGTCGACCGCTTCAGATTCTCGTCGTGTGAAACCACAACCTGTTCATCCTTTGTCAAATGGCAGTCAAGTTCCAGCATATCGGTCCCCACATCGACTGCGCTGAAAGCAGAGGACAACCTTGAGTTTTCCCATTTCTGCCCCAGGCCAATCATGCGCGCACACACAGAGGAGTTAGGTTGCTGAGGCTTGGGTTTTAGTTAAGACAAGTACAAGCAGAGCATGTGTGCAACCCGCGTCCCTCTCAGCGAAGGCCCAACTGCACGAGGGCTTGCTGCAAACAAGCTCTTACAGCGAGAGCCCAAAGCAACCGCGGTCGCTGCCAGCTCACATTCGGAGCTGGAAGATGCTGCTTGGGACGCACCGGACAAATGCCAAGAAGAACGGGAGGGTGCCACTCTGGAGGCCCTGGATGAAGAGCAGTCTCAGGAGGAGACCAGCAATCAGGCACCTGCAGGGGATCAAGCAGGACAGCTGGCAGCATCAGGTGATGAGGGCCGGACCCAGGACCTCCCCCCAGCCTTAGAGTGCATCTTGCAGAGCACCGCGCAGTGCAAAGGTGTTTGGCACACGTTCTTGTAAGTTCAGTAAGAACTCCACTTACTGGAACTGTGTGTTTGGTTTTGGAACCCACTGCCTGTGGAAACTCTGCTCTGATGACCCACGTCTAGACTGTGACGCGGCTAAGCCTCTACTCCTTGCCTCGGCCTCTGGTCATTTGGAACTCTTTGCAGACAAGCTCTCTGGGGACTGGAATGCTGCCGCTCTGTGCCTGCGCTTGCACACACCCCTTGCGTGCCTTGGCTGGTAACTGCACAAACCCAAAGTAAAGTCTTGTCACTAAACTCCTGGTGTGGGTGCATGCCTGGCTTGGAACAGGACAACCATGTTGTCAGGTCACGATCCAAAGGTCTAGGAATCGTGGGTAGGTCATCAGCTGGTCAAAGTTCAGAGCGACTGTAGAGAGTAAAAAGATTCCCTTGCAGAGATATGTAGGTGCTTTAAGATGTGTGGACTTCAACTCCCAGAATTCCCCCAGCCAGGATGCTTTAAGATGGGTGGACTTCAATTCCCAGAATTCCCTAGCTGGCATGTTATAAGATGGGTGGACTTCAACACCCAGCCAGCTATTTAAGAAATAAATAGGTTCTAGATGGGAAGTAGTTCAGTTGCTGAAATTCTTGTACAGGTAGTCTTCGCTTAATGACTATTCATTTAGTGACCTTTCAAAATTACAATGGCACTAAAAAGGTAACTTACAACTGGTCCTCACATGACTGCTGCAGCACCCCTGCAGTCAAGTGATTGTGATCCAGGTGCTTGGCCACCAGCTTGCCCTTATAATGGTTGTAATGTCCCAGGGTCATGTGATCACCATTTGTGACCTTCCCAGTCAGCTTCCGGCAAGCAAAATCAGTGGGGAACTATGTGATTCACTTAACAACCATGTGATTCGCTTAATGACCATGTGATTCACTTAACAGCCGCTGCCAAAAATGTTGTAAATTCGGGTGCAGTCATGACATTTTGCTTAGCAACCACTCCACTTAATGACGAACTTTCCAGTCCATATTTTGGTTGTAAGCAAAGACTACCTGTAACCCTAACTTTTTTCACTTCAATAAGTCTGTGTGATTCATGCCTGGGAAATGGACTATTTTTGGTTTGAGGTAATGCTCAAGAGGCTGATAAGACTGCCCCTTGATCCATAAATTCCTTGCAGGTAAGAGCTGAAGCTGGCAAAGTGGGAACCAGTGATGCTCAGCCCGGAGAGAACTGTTCTGTAAACAAGGACCGTAACAATGCTGAAGGCTGGGAAAATAGCCCAAAATCCAATGGCTCAACCAAGAGAGGAAAAGTTTGATTAGAGTTATCTTTTCCAGACTGATAAAGATTCAGGAGATGGTTACCGACAAATCCTGCTGTAAATTTATCCATTATCAATGATGATGCCAGCTCATAGAAAAACTGTTAGAAAAATCAGGACTCCTTAATATACTGGCATTGATTCTAAAGAACTGTTTAAAATTGATGTATATTGATTCTAAATACCAGTTTAATCGTTGGAATTCTTGTCGCCCATCCCTTCCATCTCAATAAATCTTGGGAGAGAATTCTGGGCAAATCATGCTTGGAACAGAATCACTTTCCATTTTAGGCAGATGCCAACAAGCTTACAAAAAAGCCCTAGAGCTGACATATATATAGGGCAGTGGTTTTTAAACTGGGAGCAATTTGGGCATACTCTGGGAGGCATGGAACAATTTGTATTTGTGAGTTGAAGATCCAAGTTGGGACTGCTGTGGCCCAGATGCATATGTAAAACAAGAGAGTCTAGGTTTTTTTGTGTGGAGTAATGACATTATTTGAGACCAGGAAAAGGGGTAATTGGGTTAAACAGTTTAAGAACGACTGATATATGGCCAAATTCCTGAGTTTTACAGTCAGCAGATCCTCTGTGCATATATGACTTCTTTCTTGTCTGCAAGAATCCAAGTTATTGAACAGGGTTGAGTCTGTGAAGTTTCTGCTATTAATTACAGATAGTCCTTGGCTTGTGACCATTTGTTCAGTGACCATTCAAAGTTATGATGGGGCTCGACTCCCAGCTGCTCCACTAGTGGGTTCCTTGCAAAACCCTCCGCTCTTGGGATTTACTCACAAGGAGCAGCCAATCAGAGAACACATAGGTTGATGTTGTGGTTACCACATCACAGAGAGCCATGGTCATGTGATCATGTTTTCTGATGTTCCCTGCTGGCTTCCCACAAGCAAAGTAATGGGGAAACCGGCAGGAAGTTGGAAGTCAAGATCACGTGAGGTCCTTACTTAATGACCCGTGTGGTCCTCGTTTAACAACGGCAACTAAGACTGCTGGAATCAGCGGCGCTAAGCAACACAGACATGCAATATTGCGCTTTAGGACCGTATTGCTTAGTGGCAGAATTCCTGGTCCCAATTACTGTTGTAACCTGAGGACTACCTGTAGTTACTGAACATGGACTTGAATTCCTGGGTAGCTGAGATTGACTGCTTTGTCTGGTATGAAATGTAACAGCAGGGTCCCTTGGCCAAATCTGAATCAGCAGTTCTAAATCTGATCCTCTGCAGCCCAGCAAACAACTCTGAAGCAGACAGAGCGCTTGGCTCGTATTGAAATAGATGCGTATTCAAGACCAGCTGTCCTACGAGACGTGGAGTGTTCTCTGAAGGCATATGCAGAGCAGAAGCAAGAAAGCAGCACAACCTTCAGGATAAGGATGTCTGGTAGTCAGGTCCATTCAAGACAGAAAAACAAGAGTTTCTGGGGAACAAGAGGGAGTTGCAAGCAAAGGTTGAAAAAAGATCCCCAGTTCCTGAAAAGAATACGCATGCAGGGCTGAAGCTGCTGGTTTTTATCTGTGTTATGCCCCAAGGGAGAAATTGCTGAGATCAAACACCGCTACTTAGCATGGGTAACCCAGTTACACCAAGATTAGCATCTCATTTATGTCACCTTCGTCTTTACGCAGTCTTTTAAAGAAATCTGAACCACAAGCACAGCTTTCTTCCTAGAGATCTGCTTTTGCAGCGTTAGAAAGCATACATTCGAGCCTACGACGTTTTGCTCCCATGGAGATCAGAAGCTTCACGGCATTTTCAATAGCCCTATTCAGACCGAAAGGATGGGCAATGCCAAGTGCTTGAAAAAAAAAAGGTACTTTCTGCAGTAATACCAAGTACAAAGGAAAGAATTAAAGAGGGGGGAAAAAATCAATCCCTTGTTATAATCTCAGCTCCCTCACTCACAAAGAACCTTGAGCGTATATTTTTCACCTGATTTACCACTGAAAAGACTCTGTTACTTGAAGAAAGACAATTTGATTAGTCTTAGAAAAGAGGCACTTCAACAGTTATATTGATCCTGAAATCCAGACGTTAATGTTGCAATCTACAGCCAATTCACTTTTACGATATTCTCAACGGACTCACAGAAACCGAAATGGACTTACCGCAGAGCACGTAGGTTGAAAACCGAAACCTGTGCTGTCACGCAAAGCAATTAACAGCCTAGGAAATTCTAAGCAAATAATTGGATAAGCCGAATCCCGTCACGCGAGTTCTATTTTACAGATTTTGAAGGGAAGATTTTTGCACTTTCATTGTTACGGGCCTGTCTGACAACTCAGACTCGGAAGAGGAGGAGCAGGCTTTGACAGGTTCTGACCTTGCTACTGAGGATTCAGCGGGCTCTCAGATCTATGCAGACGGGGCTTAGAAATGCGAGGACCTGTTGAAGGATGAGCCAACAGGTCTGGGGCAGTCAGGTTTCTGCACTGGTTGCAGAAACATAGAGGCAGACTGAACCACCTGACCTAGAGCCAGAACAGGAAAAGACCTTCAGCTCTTGCACGGGGAGGATCAAGTGAGGAGCAAAGAGATGTTCAATGAGGCTCCTGAAAAGAAAGAGGCATAACTCAGGAAAGCAGGCATGTCTGAATCTGTGCTATATAAGCAGCTTGGGAGGGTGACTTCTGGTGCGCCCAACTATCCACCCTCAGACCTGATTTCCTGAACCTGTGCTGCTTCTGATTCCTTGACTGACCTCTAGACTGGGGCAAGACTATCCTCAGCTGATTCCTGGATCTTGGGTTTGACTACGTGGAATCTTGGCTTCTGAAGTCAGCTTATTGTTCTTTTTTTCCCCTGAGTTCTTGCATCCCTATTGTGGTGAGATAGTAGCTGCCATAAAAACCTCTGATCTGAGTCTGACCCCCTGCAGTTGTGCTACTGGCACACAACATTAGTTTTTTACACTAAAAGAAATGCAGATGGATGAAAGTGCAATTATCAAGGTCAACGGTGATAGTTTATGACGGAACAGAAAATAAATCCTCAGTCTCTATAGCAAAATCTGCTATTAACGCCCATTAATAAAGTTCCCCTCCAGAATGAACAAGAAAACTATTGTCTAAAGACATGGTGAGTGGAATACATAAAGAGGCACTGCCAATGGTTTTAATCTCATCTGCAATTATTCTAGTGGGAAGTATGACTTAGTTCCACTCCAGTGTGGCTCCATGAGCAGAACTTATGTGAGTAGAAGGTGAGCATACAGTTAATTGAACCTGTCTAGGGAAAGTAGCCATGCCAACTTTGATGACCCCAGAGATACTTTGTTCCACCTGATTGTGCCATGGACAACTGTTCACTCATGGTCCATATGCTGAATTGTTCATTTACCCAAGGATACAGTCTATGAAGCGCACTATGATAACAAACTTTGAAATTCAGCTTTGTGTACAGTATATGTGTGTATCTCCATTCACTTTGATGTTCTTTTCACTCTTACACTTCACTATTTTGCTGGAAGTACAGAAATGGCATTCTTACTGCTGTACAGGTAGACCTTGCTTAATGACTGCCTTGTTTAGCAACCATTCAAAGTTACAACAGCACTGAAAAAGTAACTTTATGACTGGTCCTTGCACTTATGACTGTCACAGCATCCCACAGACTGCCATTTGTGTACTTCACAGCCAGCTCCCCACAAGCAGAGACAATGGAGAAGCTGGCAGCAAAATCACAAGTTGTGGTCATGTGCTATTTCACTTAGGGACGGAGTTGCCAGTCCCAACTGTGGTTGTTAAGTGAGGACTACCTCTATTTTTATTTTTTTACAACACAAGAAATATCTATGTAAGACAGAAACCCAAACAAGAAAGCTTTGAGATATAGTTATTTAAAGGACACAGTACGTTTCTGTATTGCCTTCCCAGTTTAAACCTGAGGATTATCCCTGGAGCGCTCTTATTCTTGCAAAATATTAAAACTGCATAAAGCCAAGCACAATCTATGATTAAGCCTCCTGAGCCACAACAACACAGCCAAGCTGTCAGATGCACAATCACAAAGAGTAAACGCAGTTTTGCGTTCGCTCTGAAGCAAAGTTCATCTCCTCTCCTGAGCTACTCTCCCAAAATGTTGATCTGAAGCCAATGATCTTGGGCAAGCTGCAACTTGCACACCGCTTTTCTCTGCATCACAAACAGGAAAACACCTTTCCAAAACAGGACAGAAATTGCATTTACCGACTGGGGTGCGGAAGTGGGGGGAAACAAAGGAGGGAATCCAGCTACAGGTGATTATGGCCATGGATAAGAAAATCTTTCTCTGCAGGAAGACCTGATCCAATGGCATGTGGGAATGAACCTGGGAGACAGGAGGAAGAGCCACAGCCTAGACGATGGTCAGACAAGAGATATCTCAGCCTGCAGAAAGAAAAGGGGCGTGGGAAGCGTTTCAGAAGGGACCTTCCCTAGTTTTGGCTGGCTGGGGAATTCTGGGAATTGAAGTCCACACATCTTAAAGTTGACAAGTTTGAAAAACATTGCATGAAGTATATCAACTGTGGATAAAAGTCAGGCTTTATACTCACTGACGAAATGCCGTCATGGTGTTTTCCAGATTCTCTCCGGCACCTGTAGGATGAAAGAAATTGGTGAAAGCAGATGACAATGACTTCGCTTAAATGTAGGATGAACCTGGCTCAGGGCACGTTTCAAACTGTGAAGCACGCTAGGGTTATGGCATAGGTCACAACCGCCTGCTGATTCCTTCCTCAGCAAGGTATGTTTACTGATCCATCTCTGTAGGTGGGCAACTGTCTTAGTCTGTGGTAGCCAAAAATCAGAAGGAGCCCGCTGGCACCTTTCCCAACCAACACATTTTATTAAAAGGCTTCAGTTCACCAAAGCTTCTGCTTTTTAATAAAATGCGTTAGTCAGAAAAAGTGCCTGTGGGCTTCTTCTGATTTTTTATCTATCCTGATATACCGTGTTGCCACAGCAGAATACTTTTATTTCTTCCAGCCCAAACACCAGTAAAAGAAGCCAGACACATAACAACATACACTTGCTGCTGTTTTGTTCTGTTCTTACTGGCTAGGAAAAAAAAAAAAAGAAATTCATCGTGCCATGTTCAGATCATTCAGCTAGCCAGGCTAGTATGGGCATTGGAAGGACGCGTTCCAAACCTAGGTTGCCACTCATGCCAGCAGAAGACAATTCAATGTTGCAGAAGAGGTAAAGAGGGTTTCTGTTCCAAAGCCACGCAACCATAACTTCTCCACGTGGATTTCTAAGTCCTTTTGTGATCTGATGAGCCGCCCTTCCTTCGGAGGAATGACAAAAGAACAGCACGCCTTTTTTTAAATTGCTTCTTTAAGCAATCTTGACCATTTACAATTTTAAACATACGAAAGTGCAATATGAACACGCAGTGTTTTATTCAGCGGCAACACCTGAGCTATGGAGCAACCTCCTGCTGGAAATCAGATGGGCTGACAGGTTATTGGCTCCCCTAAGCTTTTAAAAATGGCATTGTTTGGGAGACTTTAGAACAGTGTTTCTTAAACTTTTTGCTCTCAGGACCCCTTCCCACTTTAAAAATTATGGAGGACCCCAACATTTTGTATGTTTGTATGGGTGATATTTATCGATAGTTACTGTATTAAAAATTGAAATGGACGCATTCGTAGACTATTTATTTACTGAATCTTGTAAAAAAAAATTAAACCCATTCGATATTAACGTAAGTAAAATATTTTTCATGAAAAAAAAACCTGCATTTTTTTAACAAATAAAAAAAAAATAGTAAGAGGGACATTGCTTTAAATTTTTGCAAGTATCTTCAAGATCTGGCAAATATTTTGGTTCTGTAGACCCCTGAGAGTGTCTCGGTGGACACCTAGGGGTGCTCAGACCACACTTTAAGAAACGCTGCTTTAAAGGATCAAACAGCACCACCAGCTGATTATTGCTGCTGTTGTTGCTGTCGCTTAATTCTACCTTACACTCTTTACATTTACATTAGCGATGTTTTATTGTACTTGTATTGTGACTTTATTGTGCTGCTGATGGCCAAACAGCTACTGTACTATTAACAGCCAAGAGTCTGTGGAATGTGTGAATTTCAATACACACATGCTTTAGAACAGTGTTAGAAATGTTTTTATTAAAATGGGATGGGAACAAAGGACAAGAGAAGCAGAAGACACAGCCTGGGTGAACAGAGAGATCCTTGAAAAAGATGTTTGGGAGTCCTCTGTTGTTATTTTGGGACAGAGCATGCAGACGACAAGGGCCAGCGTGGTGATAACCACGGACAGCAAGATGGTGCTCTGCAATTCTTGATGCACCGGCTCTCCTAGGTTGAACCCAGAATGAAATGGGTCAAGTACCCGAGGGACCATCTCATCCCCATTACATCGATCCTTCCCACCAGGTCAGGTAGAGAAGGTATGTTACGAACCCCGTCTACGAATGATTGTCGACTGGCGGGGCCCAGGAGGAGAGCCTTCACGACCATTGCCCCTGCCCCATGGAACACTCTCCCCCCAGAGGTGAGGTGGACCCCCACTCTCCTGGCCTTCCGGAAAGGGGTGAAGACCTGGCTCTGCCAGCTCACGTGGGGCAAGAAGAGATATAACCAACCCTGGGGGTGGCTGGCGCCTTGAAGACACTCCCCAAGTCTCATAACTTTGAGTTAACCTCAGTTCCTTGGAAGCTATTTATTGTTATATAGGAATCTTGTTGTATTTTAATGTATCTTAATTAATATTTATTCTTTTTACTGTAAACCGCCCAGAGTCGCTCTGCAGTGAGATGGGCGGTGACAAATTTGAAATATAAATATAAATAAACAAACTCGGACCATAAATAATGGGTACGTGTTGTAGCTATCCTAGATTCATTTAAACATAAGGAAAAACTTCCTGATGGTAAGATCTGCACAACAGTGGGGAAAAGGCTAGATGATCGATGGGATGCCGCAGAAGTAGGTTCCTCAACTGGGCAGAAAGTTGGACTAGATGACCTCCAGTGGCCCTTCTGTCCCTTGCAGTCTATGACCAAACTACAGATACAGTGGTACCTCGGGTCACGAACGCTTCCGTTCACGACCAATTTGGGTCACGAACAGCACCATTCGCAAAATTTTGCTTCCGTTCGCGAACTCCGCATCGGGTGACGAACAGGATCCGCGGCCATTTTCCCTGCTGTGACACGTGGTCATGGCTTCCTATAGGGAGGGGGACTCTCCCTCCAAACAATAACTGCCTCCCCACCCACCTTCCTGTCCTCCACGCCAGAAGTCGCCTCGAGCAAGGTTAGCATTCTCTCTCTTCATAGTGTACTGTTCTGTTCTTTTTGTCATATTTTTGTGTTTTAAAAAAAAAAAAACATATGGTTCAGAATGGATTAACTGTATTTACATTGAACCTTATGGGAAAATTTGATTCGGTTGGCGACCAGATTCGTAGGGGTCAGAACGGATTAACCGTAATTACATTGAACCTTATGGGAAAATTTGATTCGGGTTGCGACCAGAGTCGCGGAACGAATTAAGTTCATAACCCGAGGTACCACTGTATT